GGGGGGGGTGGGGGGGGGGGGGGGGGGGGCTGGTACCCCCCCCCCCCCCCGAGGAAGCGGCTGTTCAGAAATAAGTACAGAGGAGCCGTTTCACGAAAAAGAAAATGGAAATCATTCCCCTGGCGGCTGAAATTGACTGTAAAGGCAGAGCACAGTTGATGCAATGCAAGTCACGCTTATTTAAGGTTTGTACTCAATGTCCTGTTGAAGTCCACTTCCTGTTTTAGGAGGAAGTGTCTGCATTTGGCTCCCACTCGACGTCCTCTCTGACGCCCACTGATGGACCTCTGAATCCAGTCTGCTGGATTGATCAGCTTCCCGGCACTTTATGTAGGTCAATATACAACACTTTGATAAACACATTTAAATCACATTGTTTCACATTGTTTTTATGTTCTCTTTTGAGTACTTTAGAAAACTTCCTTTGTATTGGCATGCGGTGTATTTCTAGGCAGATTCATACTACCCAGAATGCTTTGGGGTTAGACTAGTGGCCCAGTATGTGCTGGTTTGAGCTGGTATTGAAGTCAATGAAGCTGTAAACAGTGTGTCACAGATTTGTTCCTTTCAGAGGTAACCTCTGCAGAAAAATGAGCTTCCTGATGATTTTTTTTTATAACTACGGGGGGGGCACGCCTATGGTGTCAAACCCAGTGGCACGGTAGGTGTTCGCTTCTGGAGTATCACTCTGCAGAAAGTGGGGAGTTACCACGATTATCTCTGCCTGTGGCTCTCGTGGGGTTAGATCTACGTGGGGAGACGTGTCACTATTCATGTCACTTCCCGTCGTGGCGAGCTGGGGCAGCTATACATTTAGCAGGTCGGCTAATTCAGAACGGCTGACGTGACTGAATAACCGGACGCCTAATCATTGCAGAGCGGCGTCAGGCACCGTCTGGACTGTCACTCTGCTGAGAGGCCATCAGCACAGATGCTAACGGGCCTGCTATGGAAATGTGTCCCTCCTTCAACATGCCGGTGACTGATATTTAAGGAGGGCTACAGGCCAAGTCAAAGATTTGAACGCTGGTGTCCAGAACTGCGGTGACCCTCACAGGCAGCGTGAGCTCGAGGTGAGGATGTCGCCGCTGTCTGTCGCCGTTACTGATTTGGTGATGTGGCGCGTGGAGTAGACGTGTACCGACTGGTCTTTTCTGAGCTTTCTCCTCGCTCCAATACGCAGTCAGTGAAATGTCCATGGCAAATTTTCTCTGGCACACAATGTACAATGTCGTTTTCAAGCATACAAAGCAACCGAAGCGACCATCATTTTATAGCTATATCATCATCTTAATAAATTACCATTTTAAAAAGTTATTTTCAGTATGTCATTCATTAATTTCCATAAACGATTTACTCATTCAGAGCACCACATGGTATGACGGTTGGCACAGAGCCAAACCCTACCAGTCATCCAGCTACGCAAAAACTTTATGATTCTCACATCCTCATGTTTTCTTAGTCTAAATTAGGACGCTTCACTGAAGGGGGGGTGGATGGATTGAGAAAAAAAGTGATGCATTAAGTCTAGTTAGCTTTTTCAGTTTCTTTTCAATCTAGCTGGCCAATGTCTCCCCTAATTCTTTGCTCTAGAAAACGGAGGATTAGGGCTGCACCTTAGGTAATTGCAAATACAATCACGTTGCAATACCTTAAAATAGTCTGTATGTTCATTGTACAAATTTATTTATTCCTAAAAGAAGTCTGAAAATACAGACAAAAAAATTATACCTAAGTCCATGTTGCACGTGAAATAAAGCAGGTATGTGTTTCCTGTCACTATGTTTGCCAACAGACTCTCTTTATGTCAGTATATTACATTGCTTTCAAAATAGAAGGTGACTGTTTTTAAGGTATTAGCCTTTGATAAAATAAATATTGCAAATTATGGCATTTTTATGGCACTGTGCCGTCTGGCAATTTTTAAGAGAAATGAACCAATTAACAATGTTTACTCGCCTTTTCCCTCCAACAGTTTCCCTGTGAGATGCTAACTGATGCTAAGTGATGTTGCATTTGCGAATGATCCAAATTTTTCAATGGCTATTTGGCACGAACGAAGGGAAACAAGTTGTACTTGAGAGTCCTTCCTTTTATTGTTGTGCCCAAATTGTACTGCCCTAAATCCACTCCACTCCCTGTTACGTGAACAGTACGTAGGACCAGGCCAGTCACAAGAGGTGGACGTTAGGTTTCTTAAAGGCAGAATGAACAGGATCTGTGCCAATGAAAAGTTTTTTAATATTAAGTGTTGCATCAACTGCATTCAAGGCAAGAAAGCTTTATTTACATAACACATTGCATACAGACGGTAAAGTAGCAAATTCACTGACAAAGCAGAGGGATATGGCATCACCTTGTATAATGTTTACAATGCTGACCATTGACATTAGGTCTGGCGATACGAGTAATTCAGTGCTGCCAAATCTAGTACACACGTGTAAAATGAAATTATATTGGTTGGGATGTCTAAGTCTGAATCTGATACAAATCTTACCCTAATTATCCTAGTGATTATTGCAAATAAATCTAGGAACCTCCACCCCCCATGAGAAAAGGTCTTTGTTACACTTTTTCTCAAATGGATATACACTTTTCCCAGAATACGGCACAAAACTACAGGCACAAAACCCAATATCAAACGCTACTCCTGAAAAATTGTAAATACCCAAGGAAGAAGTCACTTTTTGTCGAAAAAAACCTTCACACAGTCCTCAAAACCATATCACACAGGCAAGAATCACACACTCTACAAAACTGTAGGTCACAGTGAGCACTAGTTAGACACTGTGTTGCAAAAATGAAAACCATTGTATTGGCGCAACTGTGAATATTCTGTAGAAAATAAAGGATACTACATCTAACGCCAAAAAACAATGCTTACAATTTATTATGTAACAGAAATCCAAATATATTCCAAATATACACAGTAATGAGACATGAACATTTGAATTGTGACAGTAAATAGTCCTCACAGTACCATACAAAAATAAAGGACACAAACAAAAAGTGCATTATCCCTATGTGGTCTAACATAGCACACAATGCAGACAGAGTAGTGGAAAACAGGGCAAAGACAAACAGGAACCTCCGCCATCATCCTGCCTATCACGTGGATTTGGCCTCATGTTTTCATGTACATCATAATGAATATTCTCCCTGGTTAAACAACGTGGGTGGTAACTACAATGATGGATCATCCTTGACAAGACTCTGGGGTGATATCATCACAGGCTGCTTGCATCGCCTCCAGAAGACTCACTTGCTCATATGGGTTCCGATCATACACCTTCCATCGCCAGCTTAATCGGATTACGGAAGGGGGAATATGGTGGAAGGGAGATCATTTGAATATGTGGGTGGGAATTAAACCATTCTTGGATGACCCCTGAATGATGAAAAACCACATTATCCCTTATGACAGCGTAAGTGGTGTTACCTGGGGTCCTGTTCTGTCTCTGTGGGGGTGGGAACCAAACGTCATAGAGTCTGTAGAGAAATTCCAGAAGGTGTGCTGGGTTGTATGGACCAATTGTGACATGGCGATGGGCCACCCTGATGGACCACCCCTTGTAGACTGGTGGCAGCAAACATTGTTACATTTCTCCGTCTCTGGCCAGGAACCATCCACTCTAGCTTTTTGTCCTGCGATGCTGCCTGTGCAGTGGCTTTTTTTAAAAAAATCCAGCCTCTTCAATGTAGATGTATTCGATCCAGTCAGCATTTGCATCAAACTCAAGTATTCTCTGGAAGACAAGACATAAGCAGGTTGCATTGCTGTAGAACAGTGAACATGTATACACTACTGCAATACAGTGAAAGAAGCAGAGGGCTGTACAGTACAGTGATACGCATTTCTGCACATGCATGTCGCATTTCTTTTGCATGATCAGAATTCCTCTCAGATGGAACCCGATATATATGCTTCATACTGTGTCTTCTCAGTATGCGATCAATGGTTGATGTAGGCACATGTTCTCATGAACATGCCAATGTCCTCTGTGATTTGTATTTGTTTTTCTCCAAGTCTGATGGCGTTATTTTGCAACACTATGTTGATGATGTCTGCTTCTTGCTTCTGACTGAAGAGACGGCATCTTCTACTACGTGATGGTCTTCTGTGAATTCTGCAGAGCAGAGTTCAATTACGCAGTCAGCGCATCTTCTCTTGGACATGGAAGTTCAGAATTGTGTAACTATATATTCAGACTTATCTGTTCTCGGGGTGAAAAGCCCTGATGATTCCAGATGCAGTGTAACATCTCAAATTGGGCTGAACTCACTGCCAGCTTCTCGCATGCTCATGCTGTGGTTGCTCTTATTTCATTTGGAATATTTCGTTTCTGCCTCATCCTCATCCTTGTTCTCGTCCTCGTCCTCTTCTCTGTGCTTTTTCTCGCGCCATTGTGCTGCAAGCCATTGTGTTGTGTTTGCATTATTGTATAGAGAACAGAGTAGGTAATTGGCACACTGAATTTTAATTGGGGACTGATGTGCTTGTGCAAATTACAGAGGTGAGGTCAAACTGGAATTTAAGCTATTTGGCTGAAAAGTGTGTGTAGGGTTTTGCAAGATGAGTACACCAGATTTGCAAACTGTGCAGATACAAGAAGATTGTGTTTTTGATTGTGGGAAATTTCACTCTGGTGTGCTAGCATGAGAAACTAGATTCTTGGTGCTTACATTCAAGTGCGCATCTGTTTGGGAAAAACTGTAATACTGTTCTCCTATTGAGCTATCAGCATTACAGTTTTTTCTGACTGCCGAGGCGCTATCTTTGAAACAATTTTTTGCAAAACTCAAAACTAAGGACAAAACCTTACACCAATCCAGCAAATCATTATACATCTCTCGAAGAAGCAAACAGTTCAGACTCTTAAAAAAATGTGTTTTTGCATCAATACAGTGCATAGAAACCATCATTTAAATTCACACATGAAGCGGAAAATATGCACTGACAGTATAAAGAAAGGCACTTGTGACTTTAGTTTTACCCATGTGCAAGGCATAGCAGTGTGCAAAAAAGTTCATACACACGTTCATACAGGTATCTCGATGTACGTGGTATGGATGTGTATTCTGAACATAACACACCATCAGTACAAATAGGGGACTAAGTGTTTTTTTCCCAAACTTTTCTAACACTTGCCAAACAACAAAAGTACAATAGATGAAGACAAAAACATTTGAGCTAGGAAAAAAGAACAGAAATAAACTAGCTTAAATCTCACCTTCTTTGTTGTTGATGTGGAACGGCAATTGGCACAACAGTATAGGAATGTAGAGGCTGATGTTTACAGTTTTGCTAGAAGTGTGTTATTAAATTACAATCTGAGTGTAAAGCAGAGAATATACATTCAGTTTGCTACACTTGGCAAATGCATTGGTTACATGTGTTAATGGTTTCAGAGACACTGCTTCAAGAATCACTGTTACTATTGAAGTATTCAGAAAACCTGCAGTACAATATCTAAGCAGCAGAGCAGAGAGTTTGATATGGGGGGGGGGGCATAAAACAATAATTTAAAGTTGATTTATTTTGGGGCATGAATGAATCCTAAATGAATACTGGGGGTACCATGCCCCTCTGTGGGGATGCAAAAACAATTGCGAAGTAACACAAAACTGTTCATAATATTATTTTCCAACCCCATCCCTTTAAGGGCTGTGTAGGGCTGCAAACAGGCCTGTAAAAAAGGCTCGAATGTATGTTCAGCAGACAGCTAATCGAGCCACAAGACTACAGGAGCAAATATCCATCACAAAGCTCGTTCATTCGCTAATCATGTCCAATAATACATCAAAATGGATCAGACACTGAAATGCTGTTATCAGGATCAAGCTTTGATGATTTTCAGCTTGAAGACGTGATAATTATCCATGTCTCGATACGTCTGGATACATCTCTTTTGTCTGGAGGAGATACAGAAAGCTGCCGGGACTATAGTGCATGCAAAAGGAGTTCACCAGCAGCAGCTATGTGCCAGAAAGTGTGTATTTACGGCGGATCATGTGTAAACATTGCTGGTAAAGGACCTCTTTATGGTGCACGGTCGTGCAGTTCCTGGGGTCACCACAGAAACCCCGTGACAAACAGAGGATAACAGCCCACAGCACAGACAAAGTTAACGGACCATCGCAACAGAGCTTCTGTTTAATTCCTAATCAGAAGTGTCATTCCATACTGTGTGTGTAATTGCTGTCTTAACACCTTAGGGCAGATAGAGGCTACGTGGGCACAGTTAGTTGGAAGGCAGACAATTTCTCATAAAAATATTACACTAAAATTACATAAATCTTGCGTGTGTCTCCCCACT